GCAAAGGCAGGCATGGCCAGAGGAGTTGCAGGAGAAGCCCTCATGGCTGCCCTGCCCGGCCCCAGCCTCCCGGTACATTAAAAAAAAAAAGCCTCACACTCACCAGCTGCAGGAGCAGTGATTGGGGTCTCTGGGGGCTCGTGACAGAGCCCCCCCATGCAGTGCAGGGCAGCGGGGGACAGCAGGGATCGTCCCCCACCCCTGCTTGGCATCCACAAGGCAGCTGTTGCATTGCACAGGTGTAATATGGCTCAGCAGGGTGCTGCACATTGTCTGGGAACTGGGGCGGCTTCAGCAGTCAGCCAGAGCCTGGCAGTGCTCAGCCCCAGCAGCCCCAGCTCCCAGACAGTGCACAGTGCCCTGCCAAGTTGTGCTGCATCCACACCATGGGGCAGCTGCCGCGCGGGTGCCAAGTGGGGAGGGGTGATCCCGGCTGCCCCCCAGTGTGTGTGTGTGTGTGGGGGGGGGAGGCTTTGCCATGAGCATTCAGAGGCCCCAATCACCACTCCTGCAGCCAGTGAGTATGGGGCTTTTTTATTTTAATTTTTTTAAATGCCAGGACTAGGCAGGGGCCGGGTGGGGGATGGAGCCGGGCAGGGCAGCCCTGGGGGCTTCTCCCACGGCTCCCCCCGCCTGGAGCCACCCAGCTGCGCCTACTTCTCCCCAGCCGATCTGAATCACCGAATCTCTCCGAATCAGTGACGAATCTTCTGAAGCTGATTGGCTGAATTGATTCAGGACGGTGATCTGAATCTCTGAATTGAATCGCTGTCCTCTGAATTGGCCAAATCCAAATTGAATAATTTCCTATTTGCACAGGCCTACTGAGCATCCCTTTGGGAGGTTCCCCCAATGTCTTGCTACACTGCATCCCCACGTGGCCCAGGCTCACTCTCTCCTTGCCTAGCAGTATGGTGCTGTACTGCTGTATCCCCTGGGGTGAGAGCCAGCATGGAAAGCTGAAGGATGACTGAGGAGGCCAGAGACAGTGGCTGCTCTTGCAGGTGGAGCAATATAGGGATTGTTGTCCAGGCAAGAACCCAGGAGTCACAATTTATGGGCCACGCGCAGCCCAGGAGCCGCCGCTTGGATAGCCCTGTTTTAATTCCTTGGTTAAGGGCAAGGTATAGGTCCTAGTTTGAGCTTGCTGCACTTCAGAGAGCTCAGGGAAATAATTTTATCTTATTTGCAGACAAACTCAATATGGTGAGACACCTTTATTCTCCTTGGCCACCAATACAGTGATTTTAAATGAAAACTCATGCAAAGTCATTCTCAGTACTTGCTCCTCAGCTCTGGAACTCCCTTCCCCATTGAGGACATCTTCCTGAAGTGCTGTAAGAGTATTTGGATGGTGTCTGGAGCAGTGTT